GAATTTGTATCACAAATGTAGCTTGAAAATATTTTGACTTGATGTTGTTCCAAATCAAAATTTATAAATTGCATGGAATACAGAACAGTCCTTGTAAAATAAATGATGCTTATTACCTAAATTTCGATTAGTCTTTAGAATTTATTCCCTTTTTTTCAAATACATACATAAATGTACACGGGTAAATATAATTAACGATTTTTCAATTTTCTTTTTAAGAAATTTGCAAGAAAAACTGAAAAATAAAATGGTTCATATCCGGTATGGGCACATTATTTTTATTGATTTTCATATATTGAATGAAATCAACTGTTATATAATATTAAATAAATAAAAATTTTAATGTTGTATATAAGCAATCTATTTAATTGTGTACATATTTTCTTAAAGTTCTACATTATTATGTAAGTTTTATAATTATTTTCGATTATTTATCCGGTTCGGAATAAGAATTTAATCGAATTTAGAATTACAAATTAGGTGACAGAATGCCAATAATATACTATTTTTTTCGATAAATTAGAAACTTTAAGGTTATAAAATTAAATGAACTTTAAAATTTTAAATATCTTCGCTTTAGATTAAAAGTATCAATATACTTTTTGAAAAATTTTCAAGAGAGCAATTACAGGTTAACGTTTGGATACTTTTTCATTACAAGTTTTGGAAATACTTTTGTAAAATTTTAAAAACGTTTTAGCAAATAAAATTAAAACAAAGTCAGTAAAATTAATAAAAGAAAAAGGAACATTTCCGTTCTATCAAAAATATATATGTATGTACATAGGCAATATTTAAATGTAAGTATATTAATAGAAAAGACAAATTAAACAAACGAATCTTGTGTTTATAAAAAATAATGCCTTATATACGTTCAAATATAATTAATAAAAAAATGATTTCATATTGCACTGCGCCAATAAACCGCGACAAAGAGTTTTATAGTGTTAATACTAACACGTATGTATGTTTGCATGAAAAAAACCAACCGAAAATATAGAGTTGAAACTCATAAAAACCACACATAAAAATCATTATTTTAAAGTGCATTCAAGGCCAGATTAGAATCAGCACATTTAATATTGTATCCAATGTTATTTTGATTTAAGCGCTTATGTGTGTTTGTGTGTACATACATTTATATAAAGATAACTGTTCTAATATATTACATTAAAGTAAAGTTTGCATGAATTCAATGAGTAATTAAATTTTGCAAGTGTAACAACACAAATTATTTGATTTTTCTATTTTTTCTTACAAAGTTTTTTTATTTAAAATATTTTGGTACCGCGTATAACAGTTTATTTTTTCTTTGAGGAGTTCTGACAATAAATAATTCTTGTGTATACAAAAAGAAAAACAAATTTATAATAGTGCCATATAATTCATTCATTATTGTCATTAAATGGAACAATTAATTTTACCATTCGCTTGTTGAAATTTTTAATAGCATTTTTGTACTTTTTTTTAATTGTTTCCAATATCATTTAACAAATAAAATTTAAAAATAAAAGAGTTCAATGCATTCTAAAGGCGGAAGCAATAACATTTTAATTCTCTAGAATGTGTGAATGTGTGTAAAAATTTTATTGTTTATAAAAATTTTTTGCCTTATAATCTTTTTCAATAGTATAAAAAAAATATTTAAATATTTAAAATATTTTATGTTCTTACTATATAGTGTCTTGGGTTTCTTTACCTTTATTTGATATGACCTTGCACTTATTTTTGCAAAATATAAAAAATATAAACAAAAACGTTATTTAATTGCCTTTGTTTTTACTTTTGTATCGCAGGGGCGATCCTGAAATTTTTAAACCCTATGAATACTTACACTAACTTTAAAATTTTTAAAAATTCCTTTATCAAAATTATTTTCAAGTAGAAATTAAATTCTGACATCCAAACTTTAAATAGATCTTAATGGAAACACAATTTCCCTATAATAAGATCTTTACGAATATCTACAACTCATCCCATTGAAATTATAGCAAGTCGGAGAAAACTCAAGTTTTTGATCTTATACGGTATATTTATGTAACTTTTTAATTTCCAATTCAAATTACATGCTCAAAATGGATTTGTAGCTATTTGACTGCGATATTTTTTCTATATTGTGACCTAGATAACCCTAAAACGGTTTATAACAGGAAGTATATACATTCTCCACTCAAACTCTATAAAAGTGGGACTGTAACAAGAACCGGATCTCTAACACAAAGCATAATCGAACATTTCTTAATTATAATTTATGCAAAATTATGTTTTTCATTATTTTTTCTTCTTCACTCCTAGGAGGAACATAGGGCTAGTGCGTGATATCAAAGGTAGTCATGCCCCAGTTTAATTCCGTCATAGAGTTTTTTAAGTATCTATAGTTTGCCGGAGGATTCATCATTATATTAAATATAAAAGATAAGATTAAGAGTATATAAAAATATTGTATATTAAGATATAACATTGAATATAATTTTTATAGTGAACTGACCGAGCTTTGAACTTTAGATCCTTCGTTTAAGGACCGGTGTCATAACCACTGCATCAATGGTCAGATCAAAATTATGTGGTAATAGTATATTTGAATTCTATTATCGCATAATTCGTTTTCATTAAGAGAAATTCGCTATCACACCATGATTTAAGTCAGTTTCTTCGTTCATAATGAATGTACTTTTATATACATATCACCCTTACTAACTGTGTAATAATCACCCTTAAAGACCTAATAACTGCAAAAAAAACTTAAATATTCGTACAAAAACCAAATATGAAAAGGAAACTTGCAAGAACTGGAAAAGCCCAAATATAAACACATATTATGCTTATACACTGAAAAAAATAATTAATACGTATATAGGTTTATGTACGTTTATGAGCTTATCCTATATGATCGATTGTGTTGTGTACAAACCACACAACACAATATGTAATATTGATTAATCTGACGATAAAGAAATTATTGTATGTACGAGTATGTATGGTTTATCAAAAATATTTGAAATATTTTTTTTATACCTACATATGTACATATAATCACATAATGCATACTACATACATTCAATATGTTAAGTTAATAATTGCTGTTGTTTATACGCGTTATTAATAAAAGTATAACGGTACTTAATGGGTGAACATTATGTACATATTTATTAATATTAATTTATTTTACGGTAAGAAATTCGATATACATTTTATGTGTTTATACTTATATAGTGTAGATTTAGCCTCAAAAATGTTGATAACTACTGGTTATAAAAACATTTATGCAAATTTCGATAATATGATTTTGAAATTTAAAAAAGTTACACACATTTATTATTATACTAACACACACATATACGGATCAAGATTTTGTGTAGGTGCATATATATATATAACGTGTATACGAATATTTATTTTATTCTAAATATATATAATATAATTTTTACTTTTTTTCACTATTCCAAAAAAATTTCGAAAAAGTGCTTATTAGCTTCACACTGTCCTTCTTTCTCTAAGTTCATTTGTTTTTTTTTTATTAACTTTAAGACACTAATAAATAGTTTATTTCGTTAAAAAAAAATTTGTCCACCTATATGCTCAGTCCAGTTATCGCCTCCTGAAATTTTGTAAAATTTAAATTTTTCGGCATCTTATATCCGACACTGTAAGTTTTTTTAAATTTCTATACATGCTTTCTGCCATGTCATCAAAAAATATAATTATTTATCTTGACTCACGCAATTCGATTGTGCATGCATCTTTAAAATTTTTTCCCTCATCCTATATCTATGCAATTATTTGAAATATTATGGTATATGAACGAAATTAATAAAAATAATGTCACGAATTGTTTTTGTATTTTCAATAATTATTGTTGAAGAAAAAAATGCTACTTACAAACCATTGGTTTGCCCGCCTTCATTTTAAATTATAATAAATTAGAATCCGGTTTTTATTTAAATATTGTTATTCAACTAAAATTTCACTTTCATACGATAAGCGAAAAAGCATACCAACATATTAAAATATTCACAAAGTATCAAATAATTCAAAAAAATAAAAAGTATGTAGTCCAAAAAGATATTCAATTTATGACATTTAATATATGTATATGCGCTGTATTATTCTTTTCTACATTATAATTAAAAATTGAATTCACAATATCACAAGTCACAACAATGTGTGAAATCTAGATAATGAATATGTGATTAATATGAGAAAGAACAGTGGAGTCTTGAAAAGCATGAATAAATTTTTTTTTTTAAATATTTTTGTATAAAATGGAAACTTCAAAGGGATCGCGCCATGAAGTGCCACTTTTCATACTGGCGGTATATTTATAAATTTTTCTGCATTTGTTTTTACATATAGGCAAAAATCGGTGACAGATGCAAAATTTTTTAGTGACAGGTTTGATTTCATACTCTATTCTATTATTTTATTATTATTTTTCTAAAATTTGTTTAGTTAATCTAAATATACCAACTCGTCTCTTGAAAATATCTTGATATTATTTAAGTACATACTTATATTGGCATATACACATATAACGTTAATTATTTCCAATGCCTGAAATCTTGCGTTGATTTCATTATAATTAATGATTTCACTTAAAGGTTATATGTTGTTCCCACAATTTTATATTTAACAAATTGATTCAATAACTAAAATGCGTTTATAATTCTATTTTTACTTTTTTTATATTTCTAGGATTTTACTGCATTCATTAACTATGATTTTTCTCAATTTAAAATTCAAACTTGAATTGTTTAAATTGAACAGGTGTATAAAGTTTTTCTACATTATTATTATTATTATTATGATAAAATGGTACATATTTTGTCAGTATAAAAACAAGAACATTAATAAATTATAAATTACAAAACAAAAAACAAAACTTAAACTTGTTTCTAGAATAGAATTTTAAAATTTTCAATTAAGAAAATTTTTTTTATTACGAAATTATTATTGTGAACAGGGGTAAATGTTTAATATACGAGTATGTACATATGTATATGCACTTACATACATACATAAATGCATGAATTTTTTTAATTATTACTTTTAAAAATACCATTTAAATTACTTACTGTGTTAATAATAAAGTAGCTACTTTAGAATTCTAAATTCTAATATTATGCAAAATATCTTTTTAAAGCGTCAATATACGTACACATGCATAAATATGTAGATCCAGTTCCAGTTAGAATTTAATTTAGTGATTTGAAACTTTTTATTCTGTGTTACTTTTGACACAAAATGTTGTGCTTATGGCGTGCACTCATGTGAATGTTACACTTTGTTTAAAATTCTAAAATTATCTATAAGTTCATTTTATGTTAACAAATTAATTTTCTATGAATTTTCCTTTTGTAATTCATAATGTTTTGCTGAGAGCTGATAAGACGTCTATGATCTGATCACTTCAATTTTGCAATAGTGAGCTAATGTTGCATTCTCGTAAAAAAATTATAGCAGCACCGCAACAAAAACATTTTCTATGAATAATTTAGAGAAAGGTTTTTAGTAGTGTGACGTAAGAACCAACTGAGCTAAGAACCTAAAAAATAAAAAAATTCTTTAGAAATTCGTTTTTCGTTTTGTAAAATTAGAAATGTTAGTGAATGCTTGACAACAATTTTTTTTTAATAGTTGAAAATTGTGATTTTTATTAAAAAATAAAAGACCATTAGTTCTTGTTTCTATATACAATCAAGGACATTGTAATAAAATATTCTTTTAGCTTAAAAATAACAAAAAAACCCAAAAAATTCTGCCACATTCACACATTATGCAAAGTTTGTAAATATGCCTTGTTTTTTTTGGCTAAATGCACGACTAACCACATTCGATGTCATGACATTACATTCCAACTTAAATTTCATTAAATTTTTTTTCTTGTTTTGCTTTTTTTTAGAATTTTAACAAGCAATAAAATTAATTACACACAAAATTTATATTTACCGTGCCAAAAAGTTCCATAGAAGGAGAAAAAAATGGTACAGCTATAGTTATTGGTTGTTGAGCTCTCATTATGATCAATAAAACAGTTTTTTGTATTGGTTTATTGCATTTGTACCATTCAACATTGTATAAAGAAGTTGCAATATCTAAGCTCTATAAAAACATATTAAAAATATTTTTATTATAAAATATACTCAATATAATATAAAAACTTGTATGTACTTACACTTTGTATAACAATACTTCCTCCTTCACAGTATGTAAGTAATTGTGCTAATACTGCAGCAGAATAACAAATGTACAAAACAATCCCAAATCCAGTATTCTATGTTTTCATATGCATGAACGTTGTGGATTTAATGTATGTGTACGTAATAGTTATAGTAAGAAATTCAATTTATAATGTATACGATTTTTAAAAGAAAGAATAACAAAAACAAAAATGAAAACACAAACAAAAATTTTTGGTGTCTTAATCAGCCGCAAGGGGTTTCAAAATTACGTGAAAAAAATTATAGAAATTTACTATGGAATGTAAAATTTTAACATGAAATATGTGCACATGTAAGCATATTACATTGCTATAATATTTTGTCAGAAAATGCTTTAAAATTATCATTAACAAATACGATATAAGGTGGCTAACTGTAAATTTTATACGGAATACAGCATAATATACATTACCGTTAACATATCTAGTACGCTTAATCCAATAATAGCAGCAGATGAGAAAAAGTGGGATATTATCACACTTGTATAAATTTTAGTAAATGATTTGCAAATCTTATTAAGTTTATTTTGCAGAATTACGACTTCTTTCAATTTTTTTCGAAAAATAACACTGTCTTCCTCTGAGGCAAAATCTTAAATTAAAAGATTTATGTAAACGCATATTATTATTTAATGAAAACTTACTTTTATTTTCAAGACATGAGAAAATTGCTTTTGTTTCAAGTTGTATAGTTTTAAACATTGCTGAAATATAATGACAATATGCTACCAAAAATCCATCAACTCCAGAAAATCCGAATACTGTAACTAATCCTGTATACCAAACTGACACATAAACAAATGGTAAATATGGTAATTCTGTAAGAAACACTGGAATTCTAACATCCAAAAATTAAAAAAAAATATAATATATTGAAAAAACTATAATAAATTAAACATTTCGAAAAATTTTGGTATAATACAGAATATACAAGATCAATCGTTATAACTTACTGGACTCGAAAAGGCATATCAATTGTTACATTCTCAGATTTATAATACATTATGGCACCATTGAGTAATGGTCTTAAACCATATGAAAAGTTGGTTAGATTAGAAAAACACAAAATACCACCAGCTATTATAGTAGCTCTATAATGTAGTCTATTGTAAATTTCAAATCCATCTTTATTTTTTGTCAATTCTAAAACACAATATGAAAAACAAAATATCTTAATTTTATAGTCTTGAAATTCATAATAAATATCTTTTACCTTTCATGATTTTATATAGCTTTATAATGCATAATTTTAAATTATTTCGATAATAAACGAATGCCAGTAACTTTATTAGTGTAACAACTTCAGTAAGAGCTGGACAGAAAGCATCTAATGCTAATAAGAGATCAGCAATATTAATGAAACCGAATACAATTTGTGAAAATGTAGCAAAGAACAATAGAACGTAATTTAAACAAATCCTTATTATAAGTAAGAATCCAAGAGTTTGATTGGGCCAATAACCAAGAAATGATAAACAAATTCTTGGTATAAAGAAAAATGATTTCTCAAGTGGTAGATTTTGATGAAAAAGTTGTTTTGCCATTTTTTATTTTAAAATTTTTATTATTTTTTTTTACGAGCAATGCGTCATGACTATGCAAAGTCAGTTTGTGATAAAGTGAAAATTTTAAATGTAAATTAACAGGTTTATGCCGAAACATGACACATTTTTAAAAAATAAAAAAAAAGCATTATAGTCAATAATTAGTTAAAAATATTTATTTGTTGTACAATTTCCCACTATATGACTATGTATGTAATTATTATCAACAATATAATTAGTATATTCTAGATTGTGTATAATTATTGTCAAAATATTCTACTAATTAATAATTTAGGGTTTTTGCTGATGAAAATAGAAAAATAGTAACTATAATAACTCCTTTATTTTTTAAGACTCAATAAAAATATTATATTTAAATTCAAAGCAGCACAAGCACTATATGTACATATATTCAGATGGACACTACTACATTATACGAGTAGCATATATTTTAGTTTAATTTTAGCTTTAATGTTAAAATTTTGAAGTTTTTTTAATAAATTCCAAACGAATTTCAATTATAATTGAAAGTTCGATTGAAGCTTTCCAACCTTTTTATTACATTACCGTTATTAATTTAAAATTCAGCAACTTTTTTCGAGTTAAGATCTAGATAATAATTATAAAGTTCTAAATAAGCATATTACAAAACTTTAAAATGTTTTGCAAAATAACATGGATTATTTGTATTTGAAGGCGAATTTTTATTTTTAATATTCTACTTTTCCCCCTATATAATTTTGGCATTTTATTGTATTATTAACGAAATATTTTTGACTTTAGTTTTTCTAACTTTAATCAATTCATATAATATATATGTATATATAAGGCTCACATAAAGTTGAGTAGAGAGTGTGTAATAGTTTTGAATTTGAAGGAAACATATATAAATTAAACGTTACTCTTACTTACTGTATTATTACAAACCAAATTATTACCTAATGAGGTCATGGAGACGTATCCCTGCGCCTTTTAGGCGGAGGGGTGCGCTATTGATATGTGATTCAGTTCAGCCTTGGGAGAGTACGGCGACAGGAGATTTTGATAATGTCAGATATTAAGACTGCCACCAGAGGGCTAAATTCATTTTTAGTAACGTGCTTTGTAATGTGGAGTTGTCTTGAGAGGCTGAAGGAATTGGAAAGATGTAACCGAATCACACTATGCTATGCCTACCTTGGCATGTGGACTTAGAAGGAAATGAAATGACCACACGACGGTTCGTGGTGAATTAAGGAAGGAAATGTATGAGCGACATTCGAAACCCTGGCAGTTCGTGGAGCTGGAAAGGAACCAAACTAGAATTTTCAGCGAGATCTTAACGGTATATTGAAGGCTTGCTCTTCAGAGCTGGGAGAACGAAATCACCTGCGGGAGTAGGGAAATACTGGAAAACTACGTATGCACTCCGGCGTAGTTGTGGTCTACCAAAACTTTGAAGTTAATCGAATAATCAGGGAGGACACCTAATGTTGGCCACGACTATATGTTTTATGTAATCCATTTGATTAAAAATCCAACTCGCAGTCATAAAAATAAAATGTGAACTTTCACTAAAAATGCGGTCGGAATATTGTCATGAGAATAAGCATTGAATCGTAAAAATGTAAAATTTATTGACAACACATGCTTCTATTATAACACAACATTTCGGTCAGTTTAATAATTTGGGAGAATTTTTTGAGCGTCTTTCTCTTTGTATACGTGTAGTTAAATGGCAAATTGTTTTGAATAGATTTGACGTTAAGAAGTCAGTAACTAAATATGAAAAATCATATATTAGTCGTTTAATTATTTGAAACTACAAAAATTATCAAGCATGTTAGAAATAAAGCTAAATGAAAAGTTCTAAGAAACAAATAAATTATTTATTATTAAAATTTTGTTCATAGAACTAATATTCTAAACTTCTAAAGAAATAAAAATATTTCAAGTAAAGTTTTTTAAATTTCCAAATAGTCACATTAATTTGAGCATTTATTATATGTGAGCGAACAAGTGTAACGTATTTAGTGATAAATGCACCATTTTGTTTGATCTTCTAATTTCCCAAAATGTGTAATGCATTCCAGATAATTTTAATTTTTAGTTGTCATTGATTTTCGAACAATTTCCTACTTATATTTCAAATGAAAATCATTAATTATGCGTTGTCACCACGCTATTTAGTTGTGCACAAACAAAAAAATGCAATTATAATTCAACAATTTTTAGATGGTATAATTATTTCTTGGTTCTAAGAAATTAACTAAATTACAATAAAAATAAAAAAATTACCTGTGACAAAATACAAAAATTGATTTAATTAAGAAATTAATTAATCATTTATGAAAATTTAAAATTACAAACAATACCTACACCACAAAAGTGTTTTAATATCCTTTAATATACTTCACCATAACAATTTTAACCGCACAATATATTTTAATGATTAATTTTGTATTCTTAACTTTGATATTGTACACATTTTTAGTTCTAAATATCAATAAAATATTTGAAATGGTATTCAGTTTCGCTTGAATTATCGCACATTATACAAAAAAAAAATAATAAAAATAAAAAAGAAGGAAAATAAAAATTAATTACATTTCAACAATATTAAAATCACAAATTAAGTATCAAGCAGGAACTTTTATAACATAAAAAGTTCTGCATGAGTTCACCAATTATTTGGCTCAGCTTTATTAAAATACTAAGACAAAACTATATAGTTTTCTTTACAGTAATTTAAAAAAAAAATTAAAACAGAAAAAAGATTTTTTTTTGTTTTTTAGTATTAATAATTTCTAGTTTCAATAAGGAAACTTTAATTATTATAATATGAAAAAAACTATGGGGTTGCTTATATGCTACATACGAGTACAAATTTTGTTACAGAATTGTATTTTAAATTTTGTACAAAAAGAAGTTTGTGCTAAAGAGTAACTTAAAGAGTGCTTAAAGAGTACTATCCATTACGAACTGTCTAAGACTGATCTTATTTATACCTTACGAACTCTGTCAAATTATTGTCTTTTTTTCACGTGCTTGCATAGGTCGAAATTTTGGTGGCATGAATTTTTATTTGTTAAAAAATGATTTGCGATAAAAATTAATTTCAATTACTTCCGCTATAATTATTCTGCATTTCGTATAAGTGTTAGGCACTTGTTTATTTTTTAATTTAATATTTTTATTGTTATATTTTTTCTGCATTCAATTTACCGACTAATTTTTTTATTGAATAATCAAAAAAAGTGTTATAAACGTTATAATTTACACTAAATAATGTTTTGTATTGATTTTGTCTGACTGTTTGTAGAAAAATCTCAATTAAAAAGAAAAAAGAACAAAGTGGAAAACAAAAGCTTCAACAAAGCTTGAAGGCGGCCTATAACTCAACAAGTTCAAATATATATATATGTATATAGATTTTTATGAAAATAAAATACAAAATTTTTTATTAACATTTAAAAGACAAAAAAATTAAAAGCGCAAAAACAAAAAAACATAGGAGAAAAATTAAAACAAGTGCAAAAAATTCGATTTAATACGATTAATCAGATAAGCTAACTGAATAGGACATAAGTCAAACGGAAATATTTTCATGGTTATAAAAAAACTTCATAAAAAATAAACATGAAAATTAAAAATGAAAAAATAAAAACATTAAAAAATAGATAAAGAAAAAAATATGCGAAAATCTCAATCGATTTCAATTCGATTATGTTTCAATAAAATTTATGCGGTGATAGCAGCAATTATGAAAATCAAGCAAAATTATTGAAAAAAAAATGGTAAAAACAAAAAAATATTAATATACAAATGTATTTACAAACATACATATATTGATGAATTCACCATACTCACGTATACATCGAAACATATGTACATATATCAATATGCATACCAACTTTATATGATCATTAGAGGACAACCACTTTTATATGCGCTTTCTATGCTTCTATGTCATTTATGAAAACACATTAAACTTTTTCACAAACAAAAAATCGCATTTTCAAAACATATAACTACAAAGTAGATACACATGTTAAGTATGTATATGTATGTAATTTGTACATACGTATGTGTACATTTGTACAAGATTATTAAAAATTTTATAAACGTAAGTATGTATTTGTTTTCCCAACTAAATATATGCAGTTAATATTAATTTTTTTTTTCATTTAAAGTAGTTTATTTTATTTTGATTTGATCCCGATTAATTGGCTACAAGGTAATTAAAATAATTATTGTATATATAATAAAAGAGACATTCAAACATTTCAAACAAATTCTAGTTTGTTCAAAGTTATAATTTTTCATTAGATTTGTATATATGTATGTACAAATATGTAGATGCATTTCGAAATTTTATCCTTGTAAATCGTTCTCATAATTTTGAATACCAATAATATAACATATTCTCGCATATATAAATTATACTGTATTTATGTAATCACTAGTAGACTACTGATTACATAAATGAAAAATTTGATAAAAAAAAAACATTTGTTCACATTACTCGTGGGTTCATATATGTATGTGCATAGATTTGGTTAGGTTAGGACGACGCGGTTAGGATACATTTAGACCAAGTAGACTTGTTGCGATACCGTTGGATCTCCAAATCCGCACTCCCAGATGAAACAGCCTGAATTCTACATAAACCCATACCGCACACTCCTGGTGTGTTCACCAATCATACAGTGCCCAGTAATAACTTCTACCACAGCTCCGATGTCTTCATGAGGGAGTGATATCATATCCGTTGAGGTCTGACCTCTCTAATCTAGGTCAAAACTGTCTGGTCGCGTCGCAAGTTTTTGCATTTTCCCGCCTGCTGGTTTATTCTATTGTCAAATTGCATAGCAATAATTGCACTTACTCAGAGGCATCCCCAAGCGTTCCGTTTTAGGTACGATCCTAAGACCCGTTCTGTGGGTCTTTCAGTTTCCATGGGTTCCGCTTCGCCAAATTCGGTCAATTTATGACTATTTGGGCCATCTCATTGGGAAATAACCAGCAATCCCAAACCGTTCTAGAAGTAGACATCTCCGCTTTCTGATATATCAACAAGATACGTGACTTAAAGCCTTGGGACGGTTGCAACGTCGTGGTACTGGATGGCGACGAC